GGTGTCAAAGGAGGAATTATTCTACACAAAATTTCACTGCAAATCTCAGAATAATTCATATATCTGGGAGAACATTAAATTCAAAATTTATGTGAAAATTATGTGTTCGATTTTTTTACATTTATTTAATATTATTTGAAAGACTCATTAAAATTCAGGTTTTTTTAATATTTTTATATATGTTCTTCTTCTTCTTCATATGAGCAAAAATCCTGGATTTTTGAAAGCTTTATCAAGTCTCATTCCAGCTTCTCCATACGCCTGGGTGACCATAACCTCAAAACCGAACAGGATTGTGAAAATTACAAATCTAGCCGCAAATGGAATTGTGCACCGCCCTATGAGGATGTTGGTATTGAAAGCGTTTTTCTACATCCCAATTATAAACTGCATCCCATACAACATGATATAGCCCTGATACGCCTGCAGAGGCCGGTGACATTTAATAGTGAGGATAGAAGTATTACTTCCAAAACTTAAATACAAATTTCATTTATTTGTTTACAGCCCACATCAAACCGATTTGTTTGCCCTTGGACTCTGCGGTGCAACCACACATAACCTCCCAACAAATTGTGGCCGGTTGGGGGGTGACAGAGAAAGGTATATCTCAATGTCTCTAAATTCTCCCTGATTCTCACTTTGTTTGCTCTTTACAGGTTACGCCTCGGATGTATTGCTCAGGGCCCCCATAGCTCTACAAAATATTGCGGTTTGTCAAAATTTCTATCCCCACAATGCAATTGCCCCGGAACAATTTTTGTGTGCCGGTGGCGGAGCCGATAAACGTGGTACATGTCGGGCCGATTCGGGAGGACCTATGTTCGCGGCCGTTCCCTACGAACATCAGCAACTGCGTTACGTTCAATTTGGCATAACATCCGGTGGTGGTTACGGCTGTGGTGGCAAACATAACTCACCCGGCATTTATACGAATATACGAACTTATGTAACCTGGATAATTAGTAATATTTTTTGAACAACAACAACAGCAGCAACAACAACAATGCTATTCTACATAAATCAAATGAAAGGAAATGTGATTAAGTTGTTGTGAAAATTCATGAAAAAAGTAGTAGTGTTTGAAATAAGTTGTTATAATTGAATTACGTCGACAGACATGTGATTATGTTTTTTTTTTTTTTGTTTGTCGGGAGACGGGTGGGAGATGACGCTTTGATAATTTTCACAATTAGAAGTTTGGTTTAATTAAATAAATAAATATAATTATATAAAAATACATATATGTATATAAAAAAAATACAAAAAACACCTACATCCAGTTGTGTCTATTTATGTCAGATTTTTCACACTCGATAGTTTTGCGAACTTGCAAATGGTGTCAGGTTGTTTTTTTTTTTTTCGATGTGGCCCCCACTCCTTTCTTTCTATTCATGTTTGTCAGACATCGTGAACAAGCATTTGTTCCGATATTTAATTTAATTGCATTTGGTCACGTGGGATTAATTGGGGGCAAGACAACAACAAAAAATTCACAACAATTGATTTGATATTTTATAAAAATCTAAAAATACTTTTAAAAACTTTGCGATAATAGGGCTAAAAACTATTAGAAAAATTAAAAAAAAAAACATGATAAAAACTCAAAAGACCTTGAAAAAATTATTTTTATAAATGAAATAATAACAACTTAGAAAGGCTTTGGAAATAAGATATCTGGAAAAGATCTTGAGAACATATTAAATTCACAAAATTATAGATTTCGAAAACTTTTTTTTTTTTAATTTTAAATGCATTTTTATGGAATAAACAAATAATATTTAATCATTTAAAAAATGGTTTTTAAAAAACAACTATTAAACAGTGCAATGAAAAAAAACATAATTTTAGGAAAAATCAGCAGAATTTTAAAAGTAGGGCTACATGGTAAAGTCACCTAAATAAAGGGGGTAAGTTCCCCCTCTTCCACATTTGAAATTTTCAGTGACAAAACAGATGACAACAACACAAAGTCGATGTCGGTACTTGGCAAGATTTTGTATAATTTTTGTTATATATTTAAAATATTGTTCCTGATGATGTCTTCCGTCGCAGGACGAAATATCGAAAATAAAAAATAAATATTATTAAAGAAAACAACATAGACCTCGAGCTCAATTTTTGTAAACTTACAGTTGAAATAATTTAAAATAGAGGTCGAATAAAATAACTAAAAATCAAAAAAAATCGGATTAAGATTCCTTGGAATCCTTGTATTTCAGTTATATAGTGGTTGCAGTTTTTTCGGCCGGGCCGAACTTTGGATGCCCTTCAACATTTGGAACGAATTTTCCAAAAAATTAAATCCGTTACAAATTCTGTTAAAATCTTGAAAATTCCGAATGCAGCCTTTATATTAGGGCCAATACGACGACGTGGGCCTTCATAGGCAACTTTTGACATAAGCCATTCAAATGCGAAACTAGAAAAAAAAATCGGTGAATAATGTAGCTAAAATCATCAAAATACCGAATATAGGGAGGCTATACGAAGACGTGGACCTGCACAGACAATTTTCTGTCATAGGCTGTAGTATCCATTACGAACTTCAAACACCAAATTTGAAACAATTCCGGTGAATAATGTCGCTATAATCATCAAAATACCGATTATCGGAAGGTACCGTTACAAGGGGGCTATACGAAGACGTTGGCCTGCACATACAATTTTCTGTCATAGGCTGTAGTATTCATTACGAACTTCAAATACAAAATGTAAAACAATTCCGGTGAAAAATGTCACTAAAGTCATCAAAATACCGAATATCCGGAGGTATCATTATATGTGGGCTATACCAAAACGTGGACCTGCACAAACAATTTTCTGTCATAGGCTGTCATATCCATTACGAACTTCTAATACCAAATTTGAAACAAATCCTCGATTATAGCTCTGGAAAGCCCTTAAGATTAATGTTGTGGAAAAAAAATCCTCAATTAAAGCTCTGGAAGGTCCTTAACAAAATTTTTTAAAAAATCCACGACTATAGCTCTGAAAGTTCTTGAGAAAATATTTTAAAACATTCTCGATTACAGCTCTGAAAAACCTATAAGAAAATATTTTAAAACATCCTCCATTATAGGTCTGGAAAGTCCTTAAAAAAATATTTTAAAAAATCCGCTATTATAGCTCTGGAATAGTTTAAGAATCCACGATTATAGCTATGGAAGCTCTGGAGAAAATATTAAAACAAGTCCGCGATTATAGCTCTGGGAGTTCTTGATAAAATATGTTAATAAGTTCACGATCATGGCTCTGGATTTCCTTCAGAAAATGTTTTATAAAATTCACGATTCTAGCTCTTGAGAAAATATTTTAAAACATCCACGATTATCACTCAGGAAGTCCTTGAGAAAATATTTTAAAACATCTTTGAATATAGCTCAGGAAGTCCCTGAGAAAATATTTTAAAAAAAATCCTCGATTATAGCTCTGGAAGTTCTTAAAACAATATTTTAAAAGAAAATAGTTTAAAAATTCACGATTGTAACTCTGGAAGCTCTCGAGAAAATGTTTTAAACCATCCTCGATTATAGATTTGGAAAGCCCTTAAGAAATTATTTTAAAACATCCTCGAGTATAGTTTAAAAATCCACGATTATAGCTCTGGAGAAAATTTTAAAACAAGTCCACGATTATAGCTCTGGAAGTTTTTGAAAAAATATTTTAAAAAGTTCACGATTATGGCTCTGGATCTCCTTCAGAAAATGTTTTAAAAAATTCACGATTCTAGCTCTTGAGAAAATATTTTAAAAAATCCTCGATTATGACTCAGGAAGTCCTTGAGAAAATATTTTAAAGCATCCTCGATTACAGCTATGAAAGTTCTTAAGAAAATATTTTAAAAACATCCAAGATATGACTCAGGAAGTCCTTGAGAAAATATTTTTAAACATATTTGATTATAGCTCAGGAAGTCCCTGAGAAAATATTTTAAAATATCCGCGATTATAGCTCTGGAAAATCATTAAGAAAATATTTAAAAAAATCCACGATTATAGCTCAGGAAGTCCTTGAGAAAATATTTAAAACATCCCCGATTATAGCTCAGGAAGTCCTTCAGAAAATATTTTGAAGAAAAGAAAAAAATACACGATTATACCTTAGAAAGTCCTTGAGAAAATATTTTAAAACATCCTCAATTATAGCCATGAAAGTCGCCGAGAAAAATTTTAAAAACTCCCAAGATTATGACTCAGAACTCCAAGATTATGACTGAGAAAATATTTAAAAACCTCCTCCTTAAGAAAATATTTTAAAATTTCACGAGTAGAGCTCAAGAAAAGACCTTCAGAAATATTTTTAAAAACCACAAGAAAATCCACGATTATAACCCCTGAAATATGTTTTCAAACTTCACAATTATGGCACCGAAAAGGTTTCAGAAAATATTTTTTAAATAATCCACGATTAGAGCAATACATTTCCTTTGCCCCCTTCTCGTTCGTCGTGTCTTTCATTTCATGTTGAATTCACAGCTCTAACCTCACTTTCGTTGATGACCTGCTTATTCCATTAACTCTTGTAACTGATATATCCGATTTTTATTAGTTTTTTTCTTTTTGCTTAATTAAAATAAATAACATCTTAATTTCAATGAACGACTGACTGACTGAATAGAATTCTATTCAATGAAAGAATGGCATGCAATCCACGAATAGTAAGCTTGAACGCCCATCACATTGCTGTTATTGTTGTCATATCGACAATAACATCAAATTATGGGATCTGTTTGAGTTTGAGAATGAAAATTTGTGGAAATGGAAACTAAGAACACTACATAGAACAGACTTGGAACACCTGAGGCAGTGGCAGTGCTAGAAACTAAACTCCCACACACACACACACAGAGACATCCCATCCCCACCCCCGCCCCGCCTATGACACTCTGCTTCAACATTCAATTAGGTGCAAATGGTCATTTAAAAGGGCCAAACGCTGTACTACAATGAACTGGGTTCTGAAAAGCTCCACATCAACAATACGGGTGCTACAACCCATTCTACCTGTGTAATTAGTCGCAGCAATCAGCGTGAAAAACACCATGAAAAGCCAACAGGCAGCGATCAAATTCACAAATACTTTGCTATTTTCAAAATACGAACTAACAACCACTGGCTTATTGGCAGTTCGGCGTTAACGTTTTTGAAATATGTCGATTTGAAAACAACATCAAACATTCAGTCAATTCTAAGCACTACCAAGAAGCGGTCCTCGAAAGCGGGAAAAACTCTCGGCGTTGAAAAACGAACCATTTTGAATACAGATTTTCAATTAAAGTTTACTAAAAATAGCCAACAAAAAACCAAACCCCAAATCCAATTTAAAATGTCTCAATTAACAGTTAGTCGAACAACTGCGACGCAAACAAATCTCATTTTAATTGCCATAATTTTGTGCAATTTTAACGGTCCGGCAAACGGTCAAAGCATTCTCGAACGTTTTCGACCCAACTCGAATATAACGGCCAACGTCAATGATGAACAAGTGAAAATAATATCCGGCACCAAAGTGAAACGTTACGAACGCCTAACTGTACCCATAAATGCTGGCACCCTAAATCTCTTGCAACCCCATCCACCGTATGTGGGTTTGGCCTATGTACGTACGCCACCAACATCTACATCATCTTTTGTATATTTTCCTAAATTAAGGAATTATGTGGTAACACACTGGCCCTTTTATCCGCCGAGGGTAAGGTTGATGAGCCTCTAACGCAAGTTCGCTTTAATTTTTGTTTTTCTACCCATCCAACTATTTCGCGTTCATTAAAATATTGGAAGTAATCATGGAAGTAATCGTTTTTCCATAAAAACAGTGTTTGAAAACACCAAAACGATTGCTGCGAAAAAATATTTCATTCAAAAATTCTGAAGAAATGCAAAAAAAGTTTTTGTTTCTTATAATTGTTCAGTTCTACAGAAAGAACTCAGTCTACGCTATATAAAACAGTCTTTTCGATAATCTGTACTATTTCTGATTTCTACAATTGAAAACTCCCTCAAGAGGTCTGCTAAACATCGAATGTCCCCATGTAGGTCTGCTGTACATAAAAAAGTCCTTACGAAGTCTGATATGCATAGAAGAACTCTTGTATATAGGAGATCCCCTCAGGATGTCTTATATGCAGTTTTTTTATTTTTTGTTTTTTCAATAATCTGTACTTTTTTTGTTGTCTACAATCGTAAGACTCCCTAAAGAGGTTATCGGATACCCCCATGGAGACTCCCTCACAAAGTCTAATATACATAGAAGAACTCTTCACAAGGTCTTCTATATACAGAAGATTCCCTTAGGGTGTCTTCAATACAAAGAAGGCCTTACAAGGTGAAGAACGCACTTTCGAGTGCCTTCCGCACATAGCTGACTGCCATACGAGGTCTTCTTAACATAGAGGACCCCCTTACGAGGTATTTTAAACAGAAAATACCCCTTCTGAGGTCTTTTTTCATATAAGACGAAGGTTACACCTCTTTGTTCTTCAATGCATAAAAACACACTTACGAAGTCTTATACCTACAAAAAGTAGGTACGAGATACCTCTTCCATTGGACTTCTCTACTTAGAGGACGATCTTGACAAGTCGTCTCAAGCTTTTGAGGTTTTTACAACTAGAAAATCCCAATACGAGATATATTATACCTACAAGGACAATACAAAGTCTTAAAACGACCTCAGATGTCTGCGATGGTTATTTAGAGGACGATCTTGACAATTTTTTTTATACTCATCGTCCCTCCTTTCAAGGTCTTTATACATAGAAAACAACTAAACGATGTTTTCTTTACAAAGAAAATTCCATTGCAAGGCCACTCCACAAATGCCTTTTTAATTTCCACTTTTTGCTGAACAGGGAAACCCTAATTGATCTGCCATACATAAAAAATCCCTTTCAAGGTGTGTTACACCTACAAAGCCTGTTATACCTACGAGGCCTTCCATTTACAAAACCTCTCAACGGTAGCGACCTCGGATAATTGCCCCTCAATCAGACTTCTATACTTAGAGAAGGATCTTGACATGTCTTGGGTACATAGAATACCGCTTTTCAAGGTCTTTATCGATAGAAAATTCATTCATCTATACATAGGAGATACCCTTTGCAAGGCCACACCCTTGATATTCTATAAATAAAAAAACTCCCTTATGAGGACTATTATACCAAGAAGGCGCTTATACGAGGTCTTCTATGTATAAAATATCCCCTTAGAAAAACCCTCAACGAATGCGACCTCAGCTGATTGCAAGAGTACCCCTTCAATATGACTTCTATGCTTAGAGAGCAAGTGTTCTGTACATAGAATTTTAAGGTTTTTAACCTAAAAACGCCTCTACAAGTTTTTCTTTATATGGAAGATTCCGCTGCAAGGCCACTCCACGAATGCCTTTCGAAATTCCCCTTCTTGTGCTTCAATCTAATCTCCAAAACTGCCACTTCCAATATCTCCTCGTGATTTTACACCACGTTTTCCATCTTTTCTATCTCCTAAGCTCCCATCTCCGATACCTCGCCAGAGTTTCCCTTCGTAAATTTGTTGCAATAGTTGACAGCACTTCTTCATCTTCTTTTATCTTTTCTGATTCGTAAATTTGTTGCAATAGTTGACAGAACTTCTTCATCTTCTTTTATCTTTTCTGCCCCAAAATACTACTACTTAAACTCTTTAGCTTCAACCGCATTTTTTATGGCCATTTTCCTTCAAAGCACACCATTTCAAATATTTTATTTAACAGAACAATGTTAGCTTATTTGTTCGGGATACCATAGTATTTTGTTGTTGCAAAATGGTCAAGCTTAATCCCATTATTGTTGTTTTATAAAAACAACGTTTGTTTATTAGTGGAGAACGATTGTAATGTTTACCAGCGGGTAAGGCAGGGAATACCTAGGTTTCGGAAAGAGCCACCAATCCTCATCAGTTTCCTTGTTTTTTTGGCTGGGATATTCTCTATTATTTAACTCTAGAAAAAAAATGTAGAAAGTAAATACAATTCTTGGAACTAAGCTATAACATGATCTTCTCAATTCCCAACTCCAGTATCTAGTCTGGGCTTCAAATTTGTTGCCGTAGTTGACAACCTTTCAACATTCTCTATTAACTTTTCTACCACCCTCAACATTACTCCTCTCAGTTCTTTTGCTACAACCACATCACCTAAACTCTCATCTTCTCATAAATTCTTTGCAGTAGGTTAGACCTCTTCTACCTGATGCTTTCAACATTTCTCAACCTAGTTATAAGCTACAATCTGATCTCCAAAACTCCCACCTCCTCAGGGCTTTAGCCACAAATTTTTGTTGCAGTTGTTGACAGTCCTTCTACATCCAAATTTATCTTTTCTCTTCCAACCTAAAAATTCTTAGTGTTTTAGCTTCAACCGCACCGTCCCATCACAGATATGGAATCACCGTAGTGTCCATTTTGCTATAGCATTTTCAGATTAAATGAAACCTTTTGCAATTCCAATGAAACTTTTTGCAGTGGAATTGAAACCTTTTGCAGTGGAATTGAAACCTTTTGCAGTGGAAATGAAACCTTTTGCAGTGGAAATGAAACCTTTTGCAGCGGGAATGAAACCTTTTGCAACCGAAATGAAACTTTTTGCAAATCAAATGAAACTTTTAGATTTTTAGAAGGAAAAATAACAAAACATTTTTATTTTTAGTAGGTTTAAAATTAATTCAACTAATTATAACTAATATATAGTTAAAGAGGAATTTGTATTGATTATTAATATCTATGTTTTTATAAAAATTTTTTCTTAAAGTTTCCATAAAACACAAGTGTAGATGCAGAAAGATTGAAAAATGTTTTTCAAGGTATTTTTTTCAAAGGACCCGAATTAGGTACCTTTTTAAAATCTCCTCCATGAAAAGGAGGATATATTAAATTTGTTAAATCTGTCCATTGAAATCACGACTGCTCTATCTCCATAATCAATAAAGCTGCGAAGCGGGAATCCTTCATTAGGTAAGATTTATAGTATACTATAACTATAAAAAATTGTGGTAAAGCTTAATTTCACATTTCAGTCCTGGCCATACCTATAGAGGCCAAAATTTGTTTAAATTTCTCTTTTTAGCGTTAAGCATTTGGAATTTAATAATATTTAATAATATTAAATCAATAAAGAACCATTTGTTATTACACTAATTGAAAATTTAAGAAATAATGTAAATAAATGTAGATATTTATAATCAATAAAAAATCCTCTTTGTCAATATATTAGTTATAATTAATTGATTTAATTTGAAAACTACTAAAAATAAAAATGTTTTGTTATTTTTCCTTCTATAAATTTAAAAGTTTCATTTGATTTGCAAAAAGTTTCATTTCGGTTGCAAATGGTTTCGTTTCGGTTGCAAAAGGTTTCATTTCCGCTGCAAAAGGTTTCATTTCCACTGCAAAAGGTTTCATTTCCACTACAAAAGGTTTCAATTCCACTGCAAAGGGTTTCATTTCCGCTGCAAAAAGTTTCATTTGAATTGCAAAAGGTTTCATTTAATCTGAAAATGCTATATATGCCATAGCCTTTCACAAACGTTCTCCTTTCTCAGGTCAAAACTCACACTCTCTCTCCAAAAGTTTGAATATAGAACGTATTTGATTCTTATCGATATGTCCATAGTCTTCCATATTAGTGGAAATAACTTTGATCATTAACTTTGAGATCCTCCCTTTAAGTCTGGTCTGACTACATCAGCTAACTTAATACGTAGATTCTTAATACATCAATTGGACGCTCCATTATTCGCAACCTTTCGACGATTTCCAAAGAAATTTGCTGTATTCCTTACAATCAAATAACACCGCAGTCTCCCCAATGTTGATACGAAGCCAAAAATATGTGAGACTGGATAGTTTGGAAGTTACAATTCATTGTCACGTCAGTCGCTAAACACCAATACTTCTCCACGTTAATATAGAAATCATTGGCACTCGATCATTTCCTTCAAGAAACTTCCTTCAGGATCACTATTTGACAGCACCTTTTAATTAATTCGCAGCTACGACAAGCTTTCGATGAGTCATATAGCAATCTGTTGGGGTAGAAAATTGAAAACTTTAAAATTGAATAATTTAGGTGGACCAATCTGCTACCTCGGTTATTTTAGACATAATTACCAATTGATGATTTCCTTCGAAATCCCAACACTTGACACGCTGGCTATCCACTACTGTTTGTTGGACGTTCAATATCCCCAAGCTGTGGGTGTGACTTTAGGATTTTTTTAGGAAACAAAAAACAAACTAGGCTCCGCTTTATGGATAAACATTTCCTTCTTTACTCTACTCCATCAGTTCGTCGATATAGCTTTCATTTTTTAAATGTCTTCCTTCCTCTACTCCATCTGTGCGCCGATATACCATTAACTTTTCAAATTTCTTCTTTGAATCCTTTCGTATTTTCTTCAATTTAAAATTTCCTTATTTTTGTTTATCTTAAATCAAAAATAAATCTAAACTAAAATTGAATCCAGTCCTGCTGCTCTTATATTTCATACTTACAATTAATTGGCTTTGTTCATATTCATTACATCCCCTGCAGCATCACTTTGCATTACACTAATGCCATTTTCCAAAATTTAGGTAGCGCCAAATTGGCAGGCGGGAGCTAAATTAACCGGCGAAGGTATCGAAGGTATGATTACGTTTCAGCAGTTGCCCTACAACAATGACATAAAGGTGACATTAAATGCCACTGGACTGCCGGAGGGAAAACATGCGCTGCACATCCACACCTATGGTGATTTGAGTGATGATTGTAAAGCAACTGGTGGACAATTTCCAAATAATTTTGTAAGTTTAGAAAACTAATTTTTTTGATTGACTTTAAATTAATTTAATTTTAAAATGTTGTTTCCTTTCAGTTGGGCAACATTGATGTCAAGGAGGGTGGTGAGGTGAATGTGGCCTTTATTAGCATTTATTTGACATTGTTTGGTTACAATGGCATTGTTGGCCGTTCCGTGGTCATCCATGAGAAACCCATCGACATTAATAGCGCCTTAAATGCCGAGGTATTTTCATCACCCATTCACCCCATACCCACTGTCAATCAGGTCTATCAAAATGAGGAAAATTCGGTGGGCGCCTCGATTGCATGTGGCATCATTAGCATCATGAGTTCACCCATACCAACTGTAAATAAAAAATAAGAAGAAGGAATCGCAAATATTTTATAAATATGTATTAAATAATAAATATATGATTTTTTATAAAAATAATTTAATTCTGTAAAGAAGATCTATTATGAAGCCGGTTGTAGGAATAGTTTATCTATAAAATAGAAGAATGCTCCCCTTCTTCTTACCTCTTAATAAAAAAATAAAATAAAGAAAAGTAAAGTAAAGAATATCTATTAAGAGTCCGTTTGTAGAATAATTTATCTATAAAATAGATCCTGGAGAGCGTTATTCTTCTGTCTAAATAGGACTACCTTAAAAATATTTCTACCTTTTTCAATAACCCTATTGTTATGATTTCCTTGATTTCGCTCAACAAGAATGTCATGTTAAAAGAAAGTATTAAAAATATGCCGTTAGTTTTAAAGAACACCCCTCCACCAGACAATTTCAAAATAAAACCTCGCTTAAGTAGTACGTTCAAGTGAAATCTTCCCACCTACCTGCCATGAAAGATCTGCAAAAATCCCTCAAAACTTGTGGCTATCAGGGACCATGTGAAAGTGAACAAATACTTCGATGGGCCATACGTACCGGAGCCTGTTCGGAATTCTATAAAGGCTTACTGACATGGTTAGAAGACAAACTGCAAACAATCAATTGTACAATGCAAGTTCGAAAAAATATCATGAAACTTCTTGATGCGCTGCGCATTTCGATACTCATGATACCACATCATGGTTCCGAAGTAGCTGCCAATCCCAAAGAGTTTCGTTTACAAAGTATTAAAACGTTATTACATCAATTGCAATTGGCTCGAATGATGGCTGAAGAAAGACCCCAGCATCAGCAGCAACATCAAGAAAGTCCCGAAAAGGGGCAAAGACTAAATGCCCTGCAGAAGGATGATCGTGGTGTTTCGTTGCGCGTAACCGTGAATACAAAGAACAGTGCATCGCAGGCTGGATTTTGGAATGAACGACTGGTTCGTTATAAACCAAGCTATTTGGAAATGTTCCAATAAGTTGTATACTATTTTATTAAATTATCTTGATGTTATGAATATGAGTTCCATTTTAGAAATATGAATTATGAAGAATAAAGAGTTATGACCGCTGCGAACAAAATTATTGGTCTGTTCCGGAACTGCAAGAATGTAAAAAATTCACTACGATAACCAATTTTCCCACTATAATATCGAAAAAAGTTGCAAAACTCGAACATTCTTGCAGTTTTGGAACAGGCCAAATATTTTATTGTTAACATATCCTAACCTCAAAACATTCACTATTGCTTTAATCGATATCAATTCAAAATAGGTTTCTTATTGGAAATATTTACTAATATTTTCCATAAGAATCATTTTTTATTGATTTATTGCTTGATAGAACAATTCTCTTTTATGATATCGAAAAAATTCAAAGCTAATAAATTCTTATGGGTTCTGAAAATGAGAAGATTTATAAGGAGGGAAGGATCTTCAATTCAAAATAAATTTCCTAATATTTTTGGAATTATTTTTATTGATCTCCTTCTTAGAAGATCTCCTTCTTAGTAGATCTCTCCCAGAACCAGCAAGAATGTAAGAGATTTTTTCTTTATGATATTGAAAATAAAAAAATAATAGATTCTTGCAGGATCTACAACAGAGCTGATTTGTAATGCTAATGGAAGGACCTTATAAATACGTAGCAATGGAATCTTAGTTTAAACCCCCATATAAATATCTATTTATAATAAAATATACAGGGTGAGATGAAAAAACTGCACCAAAGTCAAACGCCATAATTTTTAATTTTTTTTTTTTTTTCAATGAAATCAAAAAATTTCAGAAATAGCATCAAATTTTAGAATAGGTTCAGATTTGTTCTAATTGGTCACCTTTGGCGCGAAATATGGCCTTCAAACGGCCAATGAAACCGTCACACTCTGACCGAATGTTGTTCTGCGCTGGAAATGAAGCGAGGAACCTCATTTTGTAACCATTCTTGGATGTCACGTGCTGAGTGCGATGGTGCTTAGTCCTGTTGGAATGTCCAAGGTATGCGGCCAAAACGTTTGCGTGCCCAAGGCTTTAATACACCTTCCAGAAAATTTTCGCTATAATATTCGGCATTTATTCTGATGCCACGGTCGATTAATACGTATAAAGAGCGACCGTCGGCTGTTATGGCGTTCCACACCATCACCATGGCCGGCACTTGAGTTCTGGTGGCCAGGTGCACATTTTCAGCTGACCTCTTTGGCAAGTAAACACGATCATTTTGTTTGTTTACAAACTGCTGGAAAACGAATGTTTTCTAATCGAAGAAAACCAAATTCGACAGTTCACCCTCTTTGGCCAAGCGAAGCTCTTTTAAGTCTATTTTCTGCTTTACCCCGAGCTCATTTTTCAATATTTGCCGAATGGAAAATTGCGATATGTTAATCTCACGAGCCAGCCAGCTTCGGCCACTGCGACGCGTTTCGTTTAAGTCGCTTCTTTACTTTTCAAACCATTTCTGCTGATGTTGCTTTTTTCTTCCGTTCACTTCCTTGACGTCGGGCTACAGTACCAGTATCACGGTAACTAGCGATGGTGCGAGACACAAGATTCATTCACATTTAAATGCTGCCAAATATAAAGAAATCACACCATCACGCTTGAATTCCATCACGATTTTTTTTCGGGAATATTCTCACCAAAATGCTTTTGTACGCTTGTAAACAATATTATGAGCTGTCACTGGAATAATTTTAACGGGTGTGGGACGAGTGGCTTGTGAATGACAGCAGTCTGAAATTGGTTGCAGTTTTATCATCTCACCCTGTATGCGTAAAAATATTGAAAATGGACCCCTTGACCCAATAATAAGCATGACAAATTTATTTTCTAAATGGCATTTATTTATTTTCGTATCAGTGTAATCATCATAATAGTTATCTGTTGCAAACATCACGTAAATATAAATTTCAATATTGAATAGATCAATACAAATCTCTTTCAAATGCTAAATTCTTTTAACGTCTACCTCCACGATTATAGTTGGAATGGCCTCGATGGCCACCACCGCCGCCGCCTCTGTTGTAATTATCACCACCTCTGTTATAATTATCACCACCTCCGCCTCCTCCTCCTCTATTATAATTATCGCCACCCCGGTCACCACCACGATAATTATCATTGCCTCCCTGAGACCAGCCCGTACCCTGAACACGTCCACTGCCTTGGACCCAATGTTGTTGTTGCTGCTGTTGTTGGGGTTGAGATTGATACTGGTTGTGTTGTTGATTTTGTTGATGGCCCTGTCTTTGGGGTTGTGACGTATACTGTTGCCAGTGACCGCCGCCACCACCGCCACCTTGGCCTCCACGACCGCCACCTTGGCCACCACGTCCACCGCCACCACCTCCTCCTCGACCACCACGGAAGTTTCCACCTCCCTGAGGCCCAGAGCTACGCTGTTGCTGCCATGAAGGCATTTCAGGTGGTGGCGGGGCATGTTCATGAGCTCTACCACCACGATCGGGCACTCGACCAATAACATGTTTATGAATTTTTGATCCTGTATTTTTACGCACATTTGCCGAGCTAGTCTTTTCAATAATGGCCAAATCGGCACGAGCTGCCAACAATGCCACAATATCAGTCTCCATGCCACCATATTTATAGCGCTCCAATTCCAACAGCTTCTTTTGGAATTTTTCATCGATCTCCTTTTCACGAGATTTCATTTTATCCGACCACATAAAACTCTGTATGGTCACATCCAAACGTGTCAACAACATTTGCCTTCTCAAATTGTATTCCTCATCCAAGTCCCGGTGTATATCTTCCAGTTGTTCCCACTGTTTATCACTCAGCGACTTGGTGTTTCTAAACAATGGTTCATTAACAACACCGGGCTTCATGGTACGCATCACTTCTTCCAATTTGAAATTCAATTTATCAAAAAATGCCTTGGCCGTAATGTTCTCTGGTGGTTTTCCCAAACCCAAATCTTTGGTCAACTGTTCCAACGCCTTTGCCGTGTTTGTCTCGGTCTTGGGTATGACATAGGCCTGCTCAGCCGGCTTAAGTTTCATATACATCTTGGTAGTCATTAGCTCTGTTATCAGATAGTCCAGTAATTGCAATCTATGTTCGCGGCTCTCGAAACGATCCGACAGAGGGCCCGTAACAAAAAAGCTATACGGACAACCCAATTCTTTCAACATGGCCGACAGCTCCATGGCAAATTCACTGGGGTCATCACAGTCTTTACTCACTGATTCATCTGTTTTTCGCAATATGTGCAGTTCCTGGGCCAGCCATGCTACAACTTCGCGAAACTCGGGGCTGCGTGTACCACCCTCCAGCGCTCGTGTCAATTCATCGTTTTGCAGGCACTTTCCTTGATACGATAACGCATTCAGGGAGTCAATGACATCCAATTCGGACTCCATGTTGCAGATTCAGTCGTATATCCTTTGAGTATTTCTCAAAAATTTCTGAATCTTCTCGATAATTTCCACAAAATGTATATGTATTGAAGCCGGCTGATGCCAACAGCTATTGTGAATACAAGTGATGTCATTCACAATGCTGTTATTGGCAAATTTAATAGGGTTGCCAAGCAAGATGTTATTAAAACGTTCGCTAAAAATAATTGAGTGATGACACTTTTCCATACATTCTTTACTCGTAATCGAACACAACAGTTGTGTTCCAGTACTTTTTTAGTAGTAAAACTAGCAGAAGAGAGAACAGTTCGAAATGTCATTCTCATTTAGGTTTGCTCAAAAAATAAGGGAACGGAAAATTAGCAGAAATGCGATAAAATGTCAAAATTCCAAAAGTAAACAGCCTAAATCGAACTGGTGAAACCTTATTGAAAAGAGCGCCAACATTTAAAAAATGAGTATTGAAGACGATAAGTTAAAAATAATAATTTATAATAATAATCAATAATCTGATTCCTCATTCAGCCAGTCCTCTTCACTGCTGGAATCATCCAAAAGTGAATACATCAGTTGCTCCATATTTTCTCTTTTTGTTTTTTGCCCGACAAATATTAGCTTTTCCTTTAGTTTCCAAGTTGATCATTTTCTTTATTGAAATGTATCAATACATTTTTCAACCTTGTTAGCCCTGCCAATTAAATGTCAAATTTACAATATGCACATTTCTGCTCGGCCAAATTCATGTAGCTAAAACAAGCAGAAATGTGCACCACTCAGCGCCATTTTTTTCTCGAGAGAGCTCCAAGTTTTGCTAGTTTTTGGAGTACGGGAACGCGTTGTAGCAGAGTTAGTGCTAATTAGTACTAATTTGCAGGTTCTGGAACACAACTAACATCTTTTGATACTATTACAACATAAAAAGATGTAAACATTAAATTAAAATTAATAATAAACATTACGTTAAAAATTATTCATATTGTCTAATTTAACAAATCTGGTAGAACACATTTTCACCAGATGGATTAGCACTTATTCAAGGCGTCTGGACTAAACATGGTAGAAGAATACAGGTAGTAGCATCGACACAGCTGCTAGGACAATGAATTGTCAAATAAATTTTGAATTGACAATTTTGAATGAAAAATTATTAAAATTTGAAAAAATGGTTAAAAAATTCATCTCTTAACAACTTCTGATAGGCGTCGTAAAAGTAAATTTATAAAAATCTACTTACCTTTGAAAAATCATTTAAAAAATGTTGACATATGTTCCCAACCTGTATCCTTCTCCCATGGGAGTAACCTATAAACGGCATGGCGGTCTATATTGACGGTACGAAGGTGGAAAGTGGAACGGGAACAGGAGTTTTATGCAAGGGCCAGAACATCAGAGGCTCTTTTAAACCTACAACTGTACAGAATTCCAATCGGCAATAGTAGCTATCAAAGATATGTTGGGCATTCTCTTCATTCAAATATCAGCTGTTTTTGCTCTCTCTCTCTCTCTCTGTTTCCTATTTTTAAACACAGAAACTTTGTTTCTTTATGTCCAAGAATCTTAAATTTTTTGCCATCAATTTTGGCATTTATTAAACAATGAAATTCAGAGTGTGGACATGCCCTTTCAAATTCCAGTTATCAGCTGTTTTTGCTCTCTCCTCTTTCCCATTCGTAAAATTTTTGGTGATTCGCTCATTTCCTACGTTCACAACTTAAATGGAACGCTTTTAATTCTAGTTGTCATTTGCTAAGAAAACAATTTGTTGGATTTGTTTGTGGGTTTGCCTGGATATTTATTTAATTTTCAGTGATTCTTAAACAGCGAAACATGTCGAAAGTGACTGTCCAGGACATAGAGGCAGTGGACGATTATTGGGGTCCTACATTTCGCTCAATTTTAGAAGGTACGTGTTTTAAAAGATACCGATCTTAGATACATGACAAATCAGTTCTCATACGCCCTCTTTTCTTTGATTTGTTGGTGGGTGATTAGGTGACAACAAGGAGTCCATATCGGAACAGTTGGAGCAACGTATACGCAGCCATGACAAGGAAATTGAAAGAATTTGTAATCTTTCATATCAGGGATTTATCGATTCCATACAAGAGCTGCTGCAGGTGCGAACACAGGCACATCAGCTGGCCACTGAGGTGCAAGCGTTGGACAAATCATTGCAACAAATCAGCGCCGCCCTCATCCAGCAGGGCAATGATCTGGTTAAGGCCAGACAAATTGAATCAAATTTGGCCTCGGCCATTGATGCCCTCAAGGAATGTCTGCCTGCCTTGGAATGTTACATTCGGTTTTGCCAACAGGCTTCAAATAAACAGTACTACCAATCGCTTAGAACTCTGGAAACGCTGGAAATGCAACATTTACCCAAATTACAAAGCTATAAATTTGTCACACAAATGCGCCATGCCATACCGGTAATCAAAGAGAATATACGTCGTTCCTCGGAGGCTGATTTTCGAGAGTTCCTCGAGAATATACGTAAATTCTCACCCAAAATCGGCAAAGAGGCAATTGAACATACGAAGAAATTGCAAAAACGTGATATCAACACCATCATTGAAGATCATAAAAATTCGGTGAATAAACGTGACTCCACGGCGGATGAGGATAATCTAAGTGCCCAGGATTTAATTGATTTCTCACCCATATATCGTTGCCTCCACATCTACACGGTACTGGGTCAGCGGGAATATTTCGAAAAAGACTACCGTCAACAGCGGAAAGATCAGGCAAAACTTGTGCTCCAGCCACCACCGGGAATGCATGATAACTTGGATGCCTATAAATTGTACATATGTGCCATTGTGGGGTTCTTTGTCGTGGAAGATCATGTCAAAAATACGGCAGGTGATGTGGTAACAACCAGCTATCTGGAAGAGTTGTGGTCAACATCATTGACAAAATTTGTCAATGAAATAAGTATGAGCTCATCATCGTGTACAGATCCCAACATCTTGCTGAGAATTAAAAATCTCATTATGCTCTCCATTAATACATTCAAATGTTATGGCTATACGGTGAATGTGCTGTGGGAGTTGTTGCAAAACATGCGAGATCATTATAATGAGGTAGCTATAATGTAGAACAAATTAAATTGGAATTTTAATATATTTCTTCCTTTTAGGTTCTCCTACAACGCTGGGTCCATGTGTTCCGTGACATACTCGACAAGGAAAAATTCCTGCCCATGGTCGTGGAAAACCAAGAAGAATATGAGGCAATTATTGAACGTTTCCCCTTCCATTCGGAGCAATTGGAAAATGCCCCCTTTCCCAAGAAGTTCCCCTTTTCTCGTATGGTCCCCGAAGTCTATCATCAAGCCAAAGAATTTATGTATGCCTGTATGAAATTTGCTGAAGACTTAACCCTCTCGCCCAATGAAGTGGCTGCCATGGTACGAAAGGCTGCAAATCTCCTATTGACACGCAGCTTTAGTGGTTGTCTATCGGCCGTATTCCGAAATCCCAGTGTGGCCTTGCCGCAACTTATACAAATCATAATTGATACACAATACTTGGAAAAGGCCAGTCCATTTTTGGATGAATTTGTCTGTCACATGACCAACACTTCGAGTAGTGTTACCCAATCACATTCGGCCATGTTTCATGTGGCCCGCCAAGATGCTGAAAGGCAAGTAGGTATACGTATATGTTCGAAAATTGATGAATTCTTTGAACTATCAGAATACGATTGGATGCTGGTGGAGCCACCAGGCAAGGCATCGGCTTTTATAACTGATATGATTTCCTATATCTCCAATACCATTGAAAGTTTTGCCTCCAAACTGCCGAGCATAGCCCAGACGGCATGTCATCGTACCTGCGAACATATGGCGGAGAAAATTTGGTCTATCCTCTTCGATGATGAGGTTAAACAAATATCTAATGGGGCGTTACATCAAATCAATTTGGATTTAATGCAATGTGAATTCTTTGCCGCAAAGGATCCGGTGCCCGGACTCAAGGAAGGGGATCTAACGAAATACTTTTTAAAATGTCGCCAATTGTTGGACCTCCTAACAATGGAGGAGTGGGCCACATATCTGCATGATTATGGCACCAAAGAAGATCGTTACAATTTGGTCCATCCCCAGTCGATAATAGTCATATTGGAGAAGATACGTGAAGCCGATAGGAAGACAATGTTTTCGGGCTTGCGTAAGAATGATAAGAAAAAGCTGCTGGAAACAGTATTGAAACAATTGAAAAATTTAGCTGAACGACAAAATTAAAATTAGTTTAAATTGGGATTTTTGCAAAAATTTGGCCACACAACAACATTCCTCAGAAGAGATTTTGAGAACAAAATTTGAAAAGGAAATATTGGTATTATAAGAATTAAATAAATATTAATTTTATATGTTTGGGAGAAATATCCATAAATGTGTAACATTAGTAATAATAAGGCTTTAAAAAAGTGCAAGTTATAAATAAAATAAATTATTTAACATTTATTTTATTTTTTCTTTAAGATTTTAATGGGAATAATAGATGGAAAGTGGAGGCCTTACTTTTTCTGTTTATAAGAGTTTATTATGGCTTACTTTTGGTACAAACGGAGAGCAGAGTTTCAAGTAGCCTGTTCAAGAGTTGTTTTTCCTATTTTTTTCAAAATTCGTAATGAGAATGGTTAGTTAGAGTATCGGGAAGAAATATTTGATTTCTAGGGATGCAGTGTTCGAAAACCACAAGCAATGATAGTAGTCGATTCTGATTAGATTTTGTACATTCGAATAGCTTGAAAAAAATGTAGATCATGCCCTAAAGATGCACTGAGCACCGTGGACTGAAAAATTGCCCTCATGGGTAATTGAAAAATAAACCGAGAGTGTGTTGAGGATAGTCATGAGACTTTGGTAGAGGACGTACCAAAATGAATGGACTAATAAAAGTATTGTTTCCATCCATTTCCTTTTGGTCCAAAAAAAAGCTCCAAAAGACTATCTAATATGGACGAGTTGTATGTGTAGTGGCAAGTGTTTCATCTTGGAGATTCTTTCATAGGCTATCTTAGAAGTAATCGGAGTATATTGCCCTACGTTGGGCGCCATACTGTTTTACTTGTAAAACTGTACCCATTTTCAGAGTCATTAAAAAAATGTCCTTCAAGTTGGTTGAAAAATAAGCCGAGGGTGTGTCAAGGATAGTCGGGAGACTTTGGTGGAGGAAGTATCAACATGAATGTATTATTTCCAATCATTTCCTTTTGGCCCAAAAAAACCCTCAAAAGACTTTCCTAATACGGACGAGTTGGAGCCTTCGCTATATATCGTCATACGTTGGGCGCCATACTGTGTTAAAGGTCCCTCAATTTGGGTCTATATTGTTAGGTGTCTCATTCCAAGTGTGAAGTTTTCACCAAATATAATTTTAAGTTCGTGGGAGAGTATATTTCCTTAGGCCTCGGACCTGGTGACGCTAGCATATTAAACCATCAGTAAAATCTCACGTTGGGCGCCATATTGTTATGGATGCCCCACAGAAACACCTAAATGCAGGGTGAGATATTGAATGAATATCAAAGTGATCGACACTTTGGTATTTTTACGGTCGGAGAGCGAGCATCGGCTGTTATGGCGGCCCACACCATCACTATGGCTGGCGCTTGAGTTCTGGTGGCCAACCGAAGGTGCACATTTTCAGCTAACCTCTTTGGCAAGTAAACACGTTCATTTTGTTTGTTTACAAACTGCAGGACAACGAATGTTTTCTCATCGGAGGAAACCAAATTCGGCAGTTCACCACTTTCGGCCCAGCGAAGCAACTCATTAGCTCTTTTGAGTCTATTTTCTGTTCTTTCTGTTGCGGTGTAATTTCTTGCACTTTTTGGAATTTTTAATGGCTTTACCCCGAGCTCATTTTTTAATATTTGCCGAATGGATTATTGCTATATGTTCAGCTCACGAACCACTTTTCGGCCACTGCGACGCGGGTTTAGAACAAGTCGCTTCTTTACTTTTCGAACCATTCTTGCTGGTGTTGCTGCTGTTTTCTTCCGTCCACTTCCTTGACGTAGCGCTACGCTACCAGTATCACGGACGAGTGGCTTCGGAATGACAGCAGTCTGAAGTTGGTTGCAGTTTTTTTTCATCTCACCCTGTATTTGATATATAGCCTCAAAACTTGGCAGAACAATTTGTATTGTGTCTAGGATGGTTGGTATTGAAAATGAGATATATCGGTCCACGTTTTGGTATAGCCCCCATATAACGGTACCTCCCGATATTCGGTATTTCGATGATGTTTTCCCATATTTTCCCATGGATTTTTCTAAAACTTTGTATTTGTAGTTCACAATGGGTTCTAGCTCCGGTGGCGGAACATGTTATTTATAGCTCTACGTTTTCGTATAGCCCTCACATAATGGCACCTCCGGATATTCAGATTTTTGGCACATTTTTCCACGTATTTGCCTAAAAATGGGTATTTGTAGTTCGTAATGGGTTCTAGCTCCGGCGGCAGAACATTGAATATTTAGCTTTGCGTTTTCCTATAGCGTACATATTACGATACCCACCGATATTCGGTATTTTGATAATCCTAGTCACATTTACCCACGATTTTTTCTTTAAAATTTGGCATTTACAACTCGTAATAGATAACAATCGTTGTAATATAAAGTTGTCTATATAGGCACCCGTTTTGGTATAGATCCATATAACGGCCTCACTTTATGGTTTTTGATAAGTTTACCAGCTTTATCCAAATTGCCTCACTGGTATTTGTAGTTTAAAATGGAATACGTTTGAATTCAGATATTTTTATACAAAAATGTTTTCTTTACCCAAAGGGAGAGGGTATTAGAAGTTCGAGATTCTCTGATAAGATATTAGATTGCCGTCCTAAAGATAGATCTTCAAAATTGAATGTTGGGAGCGCCATCTATGTGTCGAAATATTAAACCGTCTTTGCTAATATAGATCTGGTAGGACTGAGATATATTCAATTCATTCTGTTACAATAGAAATGCTGCAGTAAAAAAAACCATAGCGTAGGATGCATACCAGAGGGCTGCAACGAGTATGCAAAAATTCAAGCATACTCGGTTTCTTACCTGATTTTTGTTGATGCAGTCTTTTAGTTTGATCTGAATGAAATGACCGTTTTCGCTTCGGATCGAATCGAACGCTCAGTTTGAATCACTTCACTCACAATCAAACATGAGCGTTCGAGACGGTTTGATGTGTTCAGCAATGTAAGTTGATCGAACACATGAATGTAAATGAGCAATCACAACCGTGATTGTCTTCTTTGAATCGAGTTCGCTCAGCGTCATTGTTTATTCAACCATTTAATCAAGTTAGGACAGTTTATTTTGACTTTTTTAATATTTGAAATGGAAGAATATTGTGATAGTGCGAACGAAATTGTTGCAAGTAGAAACTACACAGGTGTAGGTAAACGAAGAGGTCGAAGTTTGTGAAAAATCTTGACAAATATTGTAAAATAAAAAAAATATTTAAACATTTTTAGTTTTCTAAATACCAATTATGTGTTTCTTTATTAAAAAATTTAATTTTGTTTTTTTTTTTCAAATAAGTCACTGAAGTCTAACACGCCAAAAAACCAAATAAAACGAAAACATTGTTTAAATATAATTTGCACAAATTTTTTTATGGGGACAGCTTTTAGTTATGAAATCCTTTGTAAAATTACAATCATGATTTCGCTCAGTTTCGAACATTTGTGTTTTAATCAAATCAAATCACTCACTTAACTGGGATGAATCAAACCGACAAGACTCCTCATAGATGATCGACCCGTTATGAACAATTCAACATAAGTTCGTAAACAAATAACTCATGTGAGCTGTTTGATTGCGATCACAAAACTTCGATCAATACATGTTTGATCACAACTTTTTCGTTTGGCTTGAGTTACTCGAATGAACATGTTGCATCTGACCGACTGATTGAGTTTGATTGTATTTCCACTGTGTGTGATCAAGCCTACTCGATCATACTCATTGCAGCCCTCTGATGCATACGACCACCGTATTATACAGTATGATTAAGGGCCTGCCGGGAGATCTTACATGAATAGAGTGTGGTTATTGTTCCGAATATTTTCAAAAAACCTCTTTAGGCTGAGAGAATAAAATAGGTTTCTTATGGACTCCAAAAGGAATTTGTCAGTCAAGCGGTCTTCCATAATTAGAATACCTCGTTTGAAGAAAACTCCACCTCATATATTAAGAAATCGTTTGTTTTTATTTATTTATCCGTTTTTGTTTTTAATATAATATAATCTTTTATTGTATATACAAATTATTATTAATAGAGTTGTATGCGAATGTGTGTGTATATGGTTTTTTTGTGTACCTTCATTTCGTATAGTTTTTTGTTTTGTTTTTACTCATTATTTAAATGAAATAAAATTTCAAATTTTGGTTTTTGTTTCGGGATATTCTCTAATAATAGTAATAAAAATTTAAAAGTTACATAGATATCTAGTTCAATAATATAACTCTATAGATTTGCGTCCAGGATGCATATGACAAATAAGTTCTCTCGCTTTATGCTTTAAACATTTAAAATGGAAAAGATTAAAAAAAAGAAGGAAACAAACAACACAGTGGTTAAAAAATAACTACATTTTCATTGATTTAGTTTGTAATTCTAGGGATATCATTCATTCGTATTTTTTTTCTTTTAATAAAGACAAACACATTTAATTATTTATTTTGGCTTTGCACCACACACAAATGTTTTTTTTCGTTTTGTGTTTTTGGGGGGTAAGATGTTGTTGCGGTATTTCTTAGATTTGACACACTACAATTAATAAACTAAGGTAGCTTTAAGCTTTGTAATATATAACTAGGTCTATTTTGTTTATATGTATTATTTAATAAATTGTTGTTGTGTTTGTTTTTTGTTGTGTTTGTTTCTCATCCAAAATGTAGTTTAAATAATATGGATTTCCAATTGTTGTTTTCTTTGCGCTTTGCTCGCTTCTATTTTTGGGAGTCACGTTTCCTTGCTAGCTCGTTTGCTGTTTAGTTTTCTCTAAGTGGACACATACATATATTGGCGTTGATGTCAACTTTTGGCTTCCAGGTGCTTGGGTGCATCGGCATAGGTGAATTTGAGTCGAAATGCTTCGGCAACCAAGACATTGATTTGACGATCAGACCAATTGTGTGTAGGCAGATTTTGTAGCAGTAATAAAAGGCCCTAGAAGGAGAACGAAAAAAAGGGGATTATTGATAAGAAACAATAGCCGGTAATTTAAAAAGCATGTAAAACAAGTAAAACGGCAGTGAATACCCTCCACCATTTGGAACGAATCTGGAAATTTTCAAAAAATAAAATCCGTTAAAAATTCTGTTAAAATCCTAAAAATACCGAATAAAGCGGTTATATATAGGGTTCTCTACGACGTGGGCCTACATAGACTTTTTAGACATCAGCAGAAATGGTTCGAATATAAAAAAGTGACTTGATTGATACCCGCGTCTCAGTGGTCTAAAAATAGCTCGTGAGCTGAACATATCGCAATATTCCATTCGGCAAAGATTGAAAAATGAGCTCGGGGTAAAGCCATTGAAATTCCAAAAAGTGCTAGCACTTACTCCGCAACAGAATGAAACAAGACTCAAAAGAGCTAAAGTGTTTCTCGCTAAATATATTCTGGAGGGTGTATTAAAACCTTGGGCACGCAAACATTTTAACGGAGGACTCAGCACCATCGCACTCAACACGCGCCACCCAATAATAGTTACAAAATGAGGTTCCTCGCTTAATTTCCTGCGGTCAATGGCCACCAAAATCTCCGGATACCAATTCGTTGGACTATTGTGTTGAGTATTTTGGAAAGCAAGGTTGGCACTAAAAAATACCAAAATATCGATCACCACAAGCAAGCGCTTCGCCGAGAATGGACCAAAATACCGCAGAGCAACATTCGGGCAGCGTGTGACGGTTTCATTGGCCATAATTCGTGCCAAAGGTGACCAATTCGAACAAATATAAACATATTCTAAAATTTGATGATATTTCCGACATTTTTGCTTTCATTCAATAAAATTTAGAAAAAGCGTAAAAATTATGCCGTTTTTTATCTCACCCTTTAGGTATTGGAAATTGTGACCCTTTATGTAGGAGGTACTTGATGGAGTGGACCGGCATTGTCCATTTTCACACCTGACCTAGCACTGATGCAAATATAATGATTTGCAAAGTTGGAGCAAAATCGGATAATTCTTTCTCTTTCTGTGAAGTCAATTATTTTCTTTTGAACATTTTGACATTTTGTGTGGGAGGTACCAGAAGGAGTGGACCGATATTGCCCATCTCCGAACTCGATCTGAGCTTGACAATAATATTACGATGTACCAAGTTTGGATCAAATCGGATACTATCATCGAGAGTTATCGTGCGCACCAGCCAGTCAGACGGACGAACATCGCCAAATCGACTCCAAATGTCCTGAAATGGATTTGCTCCAAAGAGACCTAGGGTCTAAAACCGTGATTTCAATGAGGCACCTTTTTGGCCTTATCAAATGATGTATACCCTCTCTAGCCATATCGCTGAGGGTATAAAAATTATTGTTACTTTGTCCATTCTCAACACAGTTGTGTGGGTGTATCCTTATATCTCACCTGAAAATCAACTTGTTGCATCAATTGCTCTTTCCAGTGCAACAAAAAGGCAGCACAAACATATAAATGAAACAATGCAAAACCATCGGATTCGGCCAAATATGTATCCCATAAACGTATTGTACAATGCAGAGGCAATTCGCGAGTTAATAGGTTATTCATCCAACGAAATGAGAATTGTAAATAATCCACACCATGTTGTTGTAAGTGACGATGGAGATTTCCTACAGAAAAGAATTAAAAATGTAAAAAGTTAAAATGATTTTAAATTTCAGTAACCTACCATCTATTCTTTGTATTAGATCCTTTAATTGATTCACTTTCTCCTGGATACCCAATTGAGCAAATATATAATTATCCTGTATGCAATCGAGGAATTTTGATAGACACCAAAAGGCATCGGCTTCAATGGCATCACGAATTTCAACCGATAATGAGTCCATATTGAATTTTTCGATATCAGTTCCTGGAACAACAAAATTAAAGGGAAAAATGTATTAACATTCAACTGTGAGATGTAAAGCTTAAAGCTGAGAATACATAACACACTTTTTTGACTGGCTTCTTCCCCTAAGCTCCTTTTATCTTTTCCGAAGAAGCCAGCCGTTGACTTTAGACAGACAAAAACGCGTTTTATGTATTCTCATCTTAAGAATACCATACCTGGTGGTAAATTCTCTTGTAAAAATACAATAAAAAATGGTGTAACCAAATCGTTAATCCCTTGAACATAGCCCGAGGCCGGATGCCGTATCGACCATATGAACAGAATCCTTTCGAACATTTCTTGCACCAGTTTTTGTTGGAAGAGTGCTATTTGGGGATTCATACGTGGCACATCAATGTGAATCTGTAACAAAAAAGGGAGTTTTTATTATCAATTGTAACTAATTTAAAAACGATTTTTAAAACTCACCTGTCTGTATGTATCCTGTTGCGATTCATCGGGACTGTCGACCCTAAAGTAATTGTGTCTTAAGTCTTGATAATTTTGTCGTTTACTTTCCAGCACACCATTGCGTCGTTCGCCAGAAGGTGGTAAATATTTCGATAATAGACGCCAACTTATGGCACGCATCTGGAAAGGCAAAAAAGGTAAATAAGTAAATAGGTAAACACACAAATAAAAAAATAAATAAAAAAGAAACACAAAAAAACTACGATATCTCAAAAAAGGGCCAACAAAAGAATAAAATTTTTCCAATAGAACAGAAGAGATTTTTGAAGAAAAGACTTATATAGTGAAGATAGCTTTAGGTTAAAGTTTTACTCCAAATGTCGTGAAACGGATTTGATCCAAAGGAAAATAGGCTCTAAAAACGTTACTTCGATGGGACGCCTTTTGGCCTTATCCAATGATATATATCCTCTGTAACCATATGGCTACAGAGGGCATAAAAATGGGAAAGGGGTCCCTGTATAAACAAATGTAAGAGGATATTGTATGGCACTGAAGTATTTTCACATATCGCTATGTCCACTTCATATTCTTGGCTACACCATGTGGTTTGGTAAATATTGCTGGGGTCTATACGAAACAAATTCAAAGGTCAGTTTGGTTTGAAAGCAATTTCACGATGTTGAATGCGGAACCCTCAAATTATACATGTTCTGCAATATGTTGGTAATGGATACATTGAGACATATATTTTTCTGTTATTTGATGAAACAATATTTTTGGCACACTAATTGATTAATAGAATCATTCAATTATTATTGAAAACCAAAATGCTTGAGAATACCCACCTTTCTAGGAATACCAGACCAGCTTAGCTTCTTTAAAGCAACTAAATCCAATAGCGGTGAATCCAATAAAACTTGGAATTTTTCAATTTTTGTTTCATATTCGGAGTCCTGAGAATTCGAGGTAAACTTTTGTAACTGTGGACGTCCAGGCAATGCTTGAATATGGCGAATACGAGGTCTAGAAGAAAAAAGAAAAAATGGGCGCATTGAATTAAAAATACTTTTAAATTATGGAAAAATTCTTCAAGGCAGCTGAACTTTGAGGTCAGCCTTTAATTACATAATCAGTTTATTTGAAATAGAAGAGGAGGACCACTAAAATTTGACACCAAACATTTACTGAATACTGTTTTCAAAATCAAAAAGATCGAGGTATCAGACTTTCACAACAACGAATAAAATAAATATTTAATTTTCTGCTAAAGGTGATGGGTCAGTTTTACACTCAAAATAAGCTTCAATTGCCTTCAATTCTATTATTACTAGACAATTAAAAAACTGAGATTTGTTAACAAATTATTTAAAATTACACAATAGTTCTCAAATATTCATTACTTACCTTATTTCATCTGATTCTGGCGTTTTCAAATCCTTTTGCATTGATTTTGCTGTTGTACTCTCCGGATTCTTAACAGCATTATCCATCGAATTGTGAGTCTCATTGGCCGTATTATTGTTACACGTCATTGTATTCGGAGCTGTTGCACCGCCCGCTGATATGCCACCGCTGTTTGTTGTCATTGTTGACGATTTATGAACTTCAATGACATTTTGAGCCAATGTTTGTGAAACTTGACGTGATATTCGGGGATCTAAATGGAAAGAAGCAAGAAAAAAAAACAGTTATCTTTCACAAAAAATCTTAAAAACATTGCTTATCTTTTATTATATGACACTAAGTGCCACAAATTAATTAAAACAATTTTAAAACCCTCCTAAAAATTACCGGTTTTATGGATGGGTGCCGAAGATTCATCTGATACATTGGTTCCTCTATTGTTAAATTGGTGCTGTTGTTGTTGTTGCGTGGCATTCGATATTATGCAAAATTCATCATCACCCGTGTCCCAGGCATCACTGACGGAATTTTGGTAATCACGAAAGGTTGCCATCATACCGCCACTGTGACCAACCCCAGCTACCTTACCAGACAAAGTACTGGTGTCACGTTTTGGACTTGGTCGACCAGGCACAACCCTGTTACTATTCTTCCAAAAGGAGTTAGTGCTACTTGTTGTTGTTGTCACTGTTGTGGTGGATAGTTGTTGAATTTGATGTTGTTGCTGCTGCTGGGTAATTGAGGAGGATGATAACGATAATGATTTGTTGGCTTGCGTTGATGTGTTTGCTAAATTTGTTGTTGTTTTCGTGTTGTTGTCTGCATTATTGTCCATATCCAGCGTAATTGTTGTTGGATTAGTGAAAAGTGCAATTCTTTTCGGTGTCTCTCGATACGGCGGCTGCGACTTCAACTACTGCTGCTGCTGATGTTATTACACTTTATTTTGATGAACTTCCCTATCGTTCTATTTTCTATATCTCAGCATGACTTTAGTGAAAGAAGTTATGGCCGAATCTTTGAATTTGATTTTCGTCAATTATTAGGATAATATTATAGGGTAAAAATTGTATTTTTTATATTTTCTAAAGACCTAAATAAATATAAATTTCTTTAAACAGCATAGGGATGTGAAAATCGACAATGAACTAAAGGTGACAAGCAATCGATGTCAATATCGATAGCATCGTTACTTTCTTTTTAAGGTGAAATCGATTGATACTTTTCTATTTCCCATTATCGTACGAAATGGTGAAAGTAAATGTAATCAAGGTGTAATAAAAAATTAGTTGTACATCAGCTGATTATAATTTTATGTTTGTATTTATTGTTTGTAATAATAAAAAAGAAAGATTAAATAATGTTTGCTATTAAAGAATTTTAGCAAATGCTCTGTTCCAGAACATGCAAGAATCTACTTTTTTTGCATTTTTTTCGATATCATAAAGGGAAAATCGGTTATAGAAGACTGACCAGAACTTAAAAAAAAGTAATAATAAATAAATAAAAGGTACAAATTGAGTTTAGCTCTAGCTGGCGGAAAATTCTGCAATTTTTCTTGTTATCCTAATCACAGCGATCATTTTTTTCAATCAGCACTTCTCGAGATATGGGGTTTCAAGGCAAAAAATACCCTTTTTACTTTGTATTTCTAAACAAATAATCGAAATAAAAACTTAAAAATGTTACTACAGGTTGGTTTTTGTACCCTGGTTACAAAAATAAAACATGTCCATACTCCCCAAATATAGGATTCTACAATTAAAAAAGCATAAAATCCGTTGGTCTGCTCCAAAACTACAGAAACAAAAAAGGTTTTTACTACGGTAACCGATTTTCCCTTTATGATACCGAAACAAAATTGCAAATCTGGTAGATTATTGTAAGTTCTGGAACTGAGAATTTTGGCATTCATTTGGTATCTCATGAATAAATGATCCAATGTTACTTCAACTGAAGTGGGTTCATCTGTATAGACATGAGCTTTAACATAACCCCACAAAAATAGTCTGAAGGCATAAAATCGCATAGCAAATTGACTGGTTGCCACCCAATAAGTCCATTATTTACGCGTGCTGTGTGGTATATGACACCGTCTTGTTGAAACCACATGTCATGCAAGTCAAGCTCTTGCGTTTTGGTTAAAACAAAAGTTGGATATCATCTCACGGTAGCGCTTACCATTCACAGTTAAGTTACGATTTGCAGTATTTTTGTAGAAATTAGGTCCAATGATGCCACCAGCCTATAAGCCGCACCAAACTGTTAATTATTCAAAATGTGTTAGTACCTTTTGCAATGCATCTGGCGAATCTTCATTCCAAAATTCAATTCTACTTATTTACGTACCCATGGAACTAAAAATGAACTTCGTCGCAAAATAGTAGAAGTGCGTGACGACCTTTCTTAACCGAGTACGTATTTTGATAAAAAAAATGCAATGCAAGAATCTACTAGTTTTGCAATTTTTTTGATATCATAATTGAAAAAAAAAATGCTATCGTAGTAAAAAATTTAAATTCTTGTAGTTCTGGAACAGTGCTTTTAATTAACATTTATTTTCATCTATAAAATTTTTAATTTCACTTTTACCTAGAAGGAGACTTGATTCCCTGGCCATTCTTCTCCGAACTTTTTATATATTTACATGACTAATATTTGCTTTGTTTCTTTGCGATATCGAAGAAAATTGCAAAACTAGTAGAATCTTGCAGGTTCTGGAGCACAGCAACTATATTCCGTTGATTTTTTGCTTTAAAAATTTATTGTCGTTTATTTTTTAATGTATAAAAATAACGGCCTACACAACTCAATATATTGCCTTGTTTTCCATACATTTTTCCCTGTGTTATCATTCCTAAATGAAAGATCGATTAATTATCGACAAACCGCCATAAGGCAATTCCCACTTATAGATCCCTAAATTATATTTGTTGTCAGCAGAAGACAGGCAAACTCACATTGATTAGGAGTATTTCGGTCAGCTCAATTGAATTTCATCAGCTACACACCATTTGCCGGGCTCTCATCCATGTCCACATTTAAATAATATGCTGACCATAATATTCTAAGAGAATTTTGATACCAAAAAAATGGAGCAACAACAACAGGTGCTTAAACGTTTACAACGCATATTTGATATTCTCCTTCAGGAAAATTTTACTCCCACAAACAATGTTTACTTTGAAAAGCTCATAACACACTTATCGGAAAAAGGTAAGATTGCAAGTTTTCGGTGATCGTTTTTTGTTGTTGCTTAACTTCTCTATGATGATATTATTCTAGACAATTTGTATGTGTTGCAAGCACCATTTGCCATAGAATGGGTGGACAAGTGTATGGCCATATTGACGGAGGATTTTGGTAAGATCAATCCGAAGGTGACATCGTTCATGTTGAACTTTTGCAGTCTAATGTCAAAAAATGAATGGGTGCTGGTGATGTTGCGCGAAAGGCAGATAATGGACAAGTAAGTGAGGATTATTGATAATGGAAGATATTAAATCTCTTGTGTATTTTACTTGCAGGGCTCTTTTCATTATTGAGACAAGTAAGAATCGCTTTAATCCCTCCATTAAACTGGGCTGTACCCGCCTGTTGGCCTCGATATCACGTTACAGCATGGGCATGGCTTACATTCGTCACAAAAAGTGTTGGCAATATTTGTTGGAGCTTTGCAATCGTGATCACACTCTGTATGTGGTGAGAGAAGCCCGCCATTTACTCTATTCAATTATCTACACTTTCTCGGTAAAGGCCAAGGATGAACAAGCGGTATTGGAGATATTACATGAGATAGTGAGGCCAATACAAGAGAATGTCTTCAAAGTGGGAACGGAGAGTATAATGGTAAATGTTGATGACTCCGAATTGCAACACAAAATGTCCTCCACACTGGATTTGTTGTCGTATTTGTTCGAACAAACGCTGGAGTCCGAGGAGAAAACAAATATTGCAAATTTGTGTCAAACTCATCACAATTTAGAGCTGACCATATGGAAGTTGGTGGAGATGACACAGAACACTTCATTCCTGTATAAAATCCTTCACACCTTGACAAGCCTGAATTTTGCCACATTGGTACAGGATCAGTGGGATGAGGGGACGATAACACCGGAACACTTTAATCGTTTCGGTTTGAATTTCTATAATACCATGAAATTCTGTGTGACTCGGACCAAATTGTTAAATTGCATTAAAATAGCGGAACTCTATCATGTGCTGTGGAAGAAGCTGGGCAGTCGTGCCCCAACGGAAATACAAATTGAAACTGAGAGAGTTAAATTTGAAAATCAATTGATAACATTTCAGTTAATGCCTTTGTTGTTTCTGCTACGTTCCGGCAGCCTTCGTAAGGAGGAACTTTTCGATAATTATCTCATGAAATTGTTTGAAATATCCTGTGAACACACCCTGCGCATATGCTATAGGTTTCGTGATGCCATTATACCCTCGGAAAATTCATCGCTGGTGATTGTGGCCGATTTGGCCTATAAGGCCATACATGGCATCTTGTCAATGCAGAACATCTTGGAACGGGAACAGGCCATATTGGTGTTCCAGGCCATGATATATGCCATGAAAGAGTTTATCGGTGATTCGAATACAATGTACAGTGAGGAGAGGAAACCTGAATATGGTAGCCCACCAATCTCGGACACATTTCCCAACTGGGTGGGCCTGGAGTTCATGGTGACAATACCGAATGTTTTGAATGCCATCCTTAGTGGTTTGCAGACACTAATCAAGCGTTATCGAATATCCTGGAAGGAGAGCATTGAAACAACCTGTGTCGTCAATATGGTAGCTGTGATATTGGAAAATCCAAATTTAACTGAAGCTGTAAGTGAGGCACCCTTGGTAAAATGTTGCAGGATTATTTTTATGTTTAACTCTTTTCAGTCTACCGTTCAAGCCCTGAAGCTAATACAACTTTCCATAGAACATTTCTTATCACCCAATATGGCCTTGTTGGTGGATAATCTGCAGGGCTCGGGTTTGGTGTGTTTGGGTCCAATTATTGTGAAACGATTTCATGACATTTCCTGGGAAGTAAGAGACAGTACGTTGGAGTTGACCACGTCCATTGCAAGCATTAGCAGAGTTAGTAAGTATTTCACAAATCGAAAGCGAGGCTCTTTTTAAAATTGCAAATAAATTTTTTGTTTTCAGAATTTCCAGCATTCCAAAATTTCCTCTATGAGGCCAAAATGTGTCCCATTATCCTGCAAATGGCCAAGAATGATCAAGAAGCCTATGTCAGGGCCTCGGCCTTAAAGTGTCTATCCAAAATGGTGATGATAAATGTTATTTGGGAAAATGATTTGAACAACAATGACTTGTTGGTATGGTCCCCAAAATTAATGGAAAAATTTAAGTATTTTAATTTCTGGTTTTCTGCAGGAACATTTATTCACCGTTTTGTTCAATGAAAGCGAGGGCATAGTACGCAAAGAGGCCGTCAAGACCCTGGGCATTATCTACGACAATCGCAAGATACCACCACAATATATGGACACCCTCTACTCCACATTAACACATTGTCTTCTCTTCGATCTGCATTGGGAGGTTAAGGTAGAGGTACTGCATGTCTGGGGCATGGAACTCAAACGGCAATTCACCAATCAAGGCATGATCGATGGCACTTTCCCCACTGTGACATTTTCCAAAGAATACAAGAAAATTGTCACACTTAACGAAAAGGAAATCAAATTGAGAATCATGAAGGTGTTCCATGAACTTTCACAACGTGGCTGTTTGGGGGTGATGTTGAAATGTTTGCAAGACGATTGTGATTTGGAGGTGTTGAAGACAGCGGTATGTTTAATTCACACCCTATTGGAACAGTTAAAGAAATATAATTTCGAATCTATGATTGATGAACTGGAAAAAAGCTCCACGACCAGCTCCAATAACAGCAGTGCCAAAACCACACCAGTTTCGAGTCCAACGTCTCTGGGGCCCACAGAAGATTTAAATAATGATCTTTTCGATTTTGGTGAAAATAATAACATTGTTTTCAAGTCACCCCCAACCGCTGCGAAAGCTTCTCCCTCAACCTCGCCCGAACAAAACACCAAATCCGATGAAGCAATCGATTATATTCTAGAATCACAAGATATCAATTTATTGGTGGC